TGCTCCAGCAGCATGTCGCCAATCCTTGCACACCGCAAATGAGGAGGAGCTACTTGCTCCTCCGAAAGATATAGCGGCCTACTGGCCTCCTGGGCGGTGACTTCCTAGGCCGAGCGAACTCCCAGCAACTGGTACCCCCTCCCTTTTGGAGGGAAACATCATTGCAGGCTCTGCTTTGAGTCTGCTATCCTCCGGACAGGCCCTAGACCCGGGCTACTTGGACTGGTACTGGCCTACCTCTAGCCTACCGCTACTGGGCCTCTAAAAATGCCAACTTTTTGTCTTCTTCTGCTCGGCCTCCAGTACCCGACACTCCTACCACTACTTGAGTGGTACTGGCCTACCTACTACTTGAGTGTTTTTGCCCGCTGTTCTAAGTGTCGCGGACCTACCCCCGCTACTGGAGTGTTTTTCCCCCCTGCAACCCTCAAAGTCACGGCCACAGGTAAGTACCGGCCCTGCGGGGCCTTTCAACCAACAAGTACCCTTGCGGGTCATACACACACTCACCCGACAAGCACTCAGACAGGTATGCAAACCAGCAGGCACGCAGACACACAGACATGGAAATCACATCAGAATGCGGGAATTTCAGCAAGACATTCATTCCAGCGGCAAATCCCATAAATCAGCAGTGTTCTCAGTCTGTATTTTTGGCGGGTCATTACATTACCCCCCTCTCAAGAGAGAGGTACCTTCGAGCGAGTAACTCATTCAGAGTCGGCACAAAATGCGTCGTAGGCGTAGATCAAAAAGAGGGATTTAAGACCATGAGGAGTGAGTTTCGCAGAAAACTTAGCAGTCTGTCCATCGGTGATCTGTCGTTCATAAGCGTTCACAACACGGGGAGCATTCTATAACAACTCTTTTCGGCCGATCCATAAGAATTCGGTCAACGGGTGATAGAGAAAGTGAACCTTGTACTGTCTGTTCCTCCCTCTTCCCTCGTGGGAAACAATTCTGTCGATCTCATGACCTCCATCGATAGGACGAGGTATCATAGGATCTCGGAAGGGAAAAGTCTCATCATCGATGTGTGGAAACAGTTTGGATGCGTGAAAGACCGGATACGTGCGCAAATGAGCAGACACGCCAAGTACATATGAAGGACCAAAATCATCCCCAATCACCTTCAGAACCTGCCAAGGGCCATAGTACAATGGAAGAAGCTTTCGTGATATGCCCTCTTCATCAGAAAACTCAGACATTTTAACCCAGACATAGCTTCCTACTTCGAAGGTCCGTTCTTTGCGCGACTTGTTAGCATGTTTGACCACGGCATGCTGACGCTTGTTCATTGCTGCGATAGCAGCTTTGAGCAAGCGCGCATACTTGGCATTGTAGCCAAGCATGCCGGGCGTCAGACCAGGTGACCGTTCGGGGAACAGATAGGAGAGAGGATTGCGCAACTGCCATCCGTATTGCAGCTGATTCGGTGTCACACCCGTTGCAGAGTGAATGAAGTTGTTGTACAACCCCTTCACTTTGTGCAACTCCTTGTCCCACGTGTTCTGATCTGGAAAAATTAGCGCGAGAAGTGGTTGGATGACAGTCTGGTTGATTTCCTCAGCCAATCCATTGACTTCGGGGTGTCGACCAGAAGTCTTGTTAAGTTTAATGTCGTAGATCTGAGAAGTGAAGTCCTTCCAATCTTTGCTAATGAATCTGGTATCCCGATCACTCACAATAGTTTTCGGGTGGCCAAAATGCAGAATATACTGCTGAAAAAGAAATTCTTCGATGACAAGCTCAGTTGGGGCATGGGGAGGAAAAGGAATCAAATTCAGAAATTTGGAAAAGCGGTCTACGATGACCATAACTTGTGAATTCCCTGCCTCACTCACCTTTCCCATGTTCGTGAAGTCGATGGAAATCGACTCACCGGGTCCATCAGGAATGGGGAGGGGCTTCAACAGGTCATAAGGCTTTATGCCTATGGACCTTGGTCCTTTGACAAACCTGACATTCAACAATAAATTTATGAGCAGATCCTTTCATTCCCGGCCAATCAAACTGTTGCAAAAGGCTTCCATAAGTCTTTTCAAAGCCGAAGTGTCCACTCCGACCATGGGCCAAATCCAAGAAATGAGTCCGGAGAGGCGCATGGTTGGGTACACACAAACGATCAAACTTACCATACCGGCGGAATACAAGACCCTCGCATTCATGAAAATCAGGCTGACTGCTAGGGTCAGCCTTGAGCTGCTCAAGGATGGGACTAAGGTCCGGATCCTTGGCGGTGTGTTCGACCAGATCCTACTTCAGTTTCCTTCGGAGCCCATACGAACCCACAAGAAAGTCAAGAACTCAGGATGGCATGACAGAGCATCATCAACACGGTTATAACAGTCTTTCTTGTGTTTCAACTCACAACTATAGACATCAATGTCATGCAGCCAGCGGGTCAGTGTAGGAGCGAGATCAATTTGTGTTTGAATCCACAGCAAGGTCTGATGATCTGAGTAGACCTTGAATTGACGACCCAAGAGGTAGTGCTTCCAATATGCGAGTGCCTCGCGCAGGGCGTAGAGCTCACGCATATATGTGGAAGTAGCTACCTTGTGGCTGGGCATGCGTTTGCTGTAATACTCGAGCAGACGCAGACCATCACCATCATCTTGTTGCAGCACTGCACCAATCCCAAACTGGCTCGCGTCCGTAGTGACTACGAATGTGAGGTTGGGATTCGCAATGCAGAGCACATGATGACTCACCAATGCCTCTATCAAGGCTTGGAACGCAGTCTCACATTTCTCACACCACGCATAGGCAACATTCTTACCTGTTAGTCTTGAGAGTGGGTGAGCAATGACAGAAAATTTGGGCACAAACTTCCGGTAATATGAGGCCAGACCAAGAAAAGAACGCAGTTCGCGTACGTTCGCTGGTTGAGGCCACTTTCGAATGACCTCAACCTTGGTTGCGTCCGGCTCAAGGCCGTTTGCAGACAACCGGTGCCCAAGATAGATGACGCTGTCCCTTCCAAACTCAGATTTCTCTAAGTTGAGGTGCAACTGTATCTCCTTGAGGACTTGCAAGACCTCCTCAAGGTGCTTGACGTGCTCTTCCATGGACTTGGTGAAGATCAGGATATCGTCAAGGTACACAACCACAAACCTGTTGAGTTGATGGCGAAGTACATTGTCTATGAGGCACTGAAATGTGGCCGGTGCATTCGTAAGACCGAAGGGCATAACGATGAATTCGTACAACCCATCGCGTGTTTTGAATGCAGTTTTGTGCTGGTCACTCGGATCAACTTCAATCTGGTGGTAACCAGACTTGAGGTCGATCTTGGAGAAGACCTTGCACCCACCTGCCGCATTTAGCAGATCATCTATACGAGGCAAGGGATATGCGTTATTTTGGGTGATACGGCTTAGGCCACGATAGTCAATGCACATTGGGAGTTTGCCTCCTTTCTTCGACACAAACAGGACAGGTGCAACGAACTCAGACTCACTAGGCCTAATCCATCCACTGTCGATCATATCATCAATTTGCCTCCTCAACTCCTCCAACTCACCTTGTCCCATACGGTAGACGCAACCCTTTGGAGGAACACTGCCTTCTATTATCTCGATCTTGTGTTTGACCGGACGATTGGGAACTCCACGAGGTTCGTCCAAAACTTCAGGAAATCGATCTAATAGTCGGTGAATGTTTGTTGGGACTTCCGGTGGGGGATCATCCTCATCAAGAGAAAGAAAACCAGATCGAGAATTTACAGCAATTACAACTGGATTCGAAGTACTTGGATCAGAAGTAGAGTCATTATTCATAGTAGAAGTGGATGGAATCGAAGTAGAGGTGGTAGAAGTAGATTTACTCTCCGAGGTAGAAAATGCAGCAAAAGTAGAAGGCACACAGAGAGGCTTTACAAGAGCTATATATATACATGCTCAGCTTCCTTGCGCCTGCGCACTGACTTGCAGAATTTGTTCGCACTCAAAAGAGTCATAGGGGACTCGTGCGTCTCGTCCAGTAGAACGGTACGGTCGTTCTCCTTGGCATCACGCACCACGAACTGATTATCCGCCCACGTGGTTCTTAGGCAATGAGCCTTTAGCCAGCCCAAGCCAATGACCGCGTCGAACGGACATTTGTCCATGAGATAAACGTTCAGCTCATGTGTGACAGTGCGGTCCTTGTCAAAGGTGCACACCTTTGACAACATGTGTGGAGGTGACAACCTCTTGGTTGCCCACCTGGGTCCGGCAAGGGTTCTGCAATTCCACTTGCTTCATTCCCAGTCCCGCCTTACGAATCCCGTTAGGAGAAAAGAAATTGGTGGTGGAACCACTATCAATCAGCACGCGGATGTATCAACGGTTAATGAGCAGTTTAAAGAAGGTTAGCTCCTCACTCCCTTGAACACGGCGTTGCTGCTTGAGTTGCAGCCAATGTTCCAGGTGAGCATGGAAGTCAACTTCCTTAGACTCCTCCCAAGGCTCAGTATACATTACATGAACTGCAACAGCCTTGGATTCAGTGTCGTCTGGGCTTCAGGGGCAGGCTGTTGATCAGATTCAGGCTGCTTGGAGGGGCCTGCAACTGATGCTTCAACTTCCCTTTTTGTAGAGAGTGTTGATGACTCTTCTACGCCCTTTGCCTATTTCCCTGCTGACGATAACAGTCCTGCACAGCATGCCCAGGCTTTTGACAATGCAAGCATACGCGCAGTTTGGATATTTTTTCCCATTCTTTTTGACTGATGCGGAAGGCTTCCCAAGGCTTGGTAGAAGCGTCATCCGGTTTCTCAGGGATCTTCACATTCTTGGGGAGGTGTGCAATAGTTCCCCTACCCGAACCACGGTTAGGCCCCTTGCTTGAAGCAGTCTTTTTGAACGCATTAAGTTTTTCATCTTCGTTCACGTCAGACTCAATGGCTGATGTAGAACAGCCCATATCGGAGTCCGGCTCTAGATCATCATCTAGAGACAGATCATCCATGTAGGACTGATCTTCAACCTCCCGATGTTCATGCAGGGCAAGCTGGTTGCTGCTTCCATACCGCTTGCGTTGTGATTTTCCACCTGCAGCCGGTGCCTTTTTACGCCTGGCGAGGTCCTTGGCCTCTAGGTTGACTAGATCCGTCATGAGCTCTCGCCAAGTGGTATGGTCTTTGAGTCCTAGCAAGGAGTGGTATTCTTCAGGGGCCACTTCCATGACTACATCCATGCAAGACACGCCGGTCATTCCCAGGTCTGGAGTGGTGAACAGACCAGTCAAGTGTTGTTCCAAAGCCTGCATGGAGGTCCTCCATGTTTGGCCCTTGAGGGCCTCAAGCTTCAGCCTTGCCTTGAGCGCAGCGTGCTTATCTTGGTGCCGTGTGATGAGAAGGTCCTCAAGAGTGCGTACAGGAGTTACTTTCAGCCACTCAGTTAGGTCAATTCTCTCATAACCTGCTGTAACAGCTTGGAGTTCGATGAAATTCCGTACGACGGGCTCGGTATTAGTGCCCATGATCATGCCTCGGTCTTCGTGCGGTGTTCGCAGTACCTCGAAGTATGAGCGCATGGAGCTAATCCAAGGGGTGATGTCCCCTTTCCCGTCGTACTTGGATGGCAGAGTGGCCGCCCACTTGTCCACTACGGGACCACTGTACTGCACGCCAGTAAGAACTGTGGCGTTTTGGGCTGATGTCCCTGCATTTGGGACTATGACTAGCGCAGAACTGCCGGCGCTGCCGCTTGAGGAGCTGGCACCGGTTTCTGTGCTCGTCACAGTTCCACTTGTTCTTGTCGTGAGGATTGTGCTAGATTGAGAGACTGGGACGACAGCAGGTTGAGGGTTAGGAGGACGAGGGGCAGACAATTGGGACTGTTTAAGGCTGAGTATCTCAGCCTGCAGCTCGTGGTTCTGCTGCTCCAGTGCTGTCACACGGGACTCAAGGTCTTCCAGGGTCCGCAGTCGAACCAAGGCTGCTACGACAGCAACTAACCTTTCTTGGAACCGGTCAGCATTAGCTTCCCGGACCTGCAGGAGGGCCACCTGATCAGCAATGCTTGTGGCTCTGGCTGCTGCCTCTTCCTCTCTCTCCCTCTCCACGGCATCGTCATAACGCTTTTGGAAGAACGGTTTCTCGTTCTCGTCCGCTGCGGGCAGATGTGATGTCCGCCATGCCGGAGGAAGGGGTGTTAGTAGATCTCTCAAGAGGGGTCTGCTCTCTCCTTACGTTTGGACGAACACTCCTTTTTCCCTTTCTCACACTCTCAAACAGAACACCTTCTCTCTCCCTTCTCTCTCTTCCCGTTGTCTGCACACGTGTCTCAAAACCAAACATAGATAGTTCAGATGAAGAAAACAATCAGTAAATCACATAGAGTAGAAGGTAGAACTCCTAGCCGGAGCCGCAATTCATTTGGACTTGGATAATGGCACACAGCAGAATAAAGAAAAGAACAATAATAAAAAAAAAAAAAAAACGGAAGAGAGGACTGGCTTATCGAACGGGCCCGATCAGATTAGCTGGAGATCCCCTCTTGTCTAACCTGACAAGGTACATATACCACAATAAATCAGCCGAAGAAAGCTAATTGCAGCAATGGAGATTTCAAGGGGTGCAGACGGTCGCCGAGCCAGACACGGGGCAGTATGTGATAACATGCGGTAAGGCCAGTCAAGATCCCCTTGAAAGGAATGCCCTTGCTAGCCGTATGTCCCCCAAGTTCAGCACAACAACGAGATGCACTGGCAGCAACAGATCTGGGCCCGAAAGGTCCTGTCCCGTTGGGCCTGGTCCCACTGAGTCCCAAAGGTCCCAAGTAAATCGTGGACCAGGACCAACGAGATAGGGTACCAAGTCAGTCCCAAACTGCCTCTACCGTACTGAAAAGGAAAAGACAACTTTTAGCAAGAACTTACCCCTACAACCATTCAGAAATGAAAGGACATTGCACCGTAGAAAGATATGTCATTTAGAACAGATACATCATCCATCCATCCATCAGGTGAGGAAGCAATCCACATGCTCACACACACAGCCAAGACCGCAGAGAAGAGGAAGAGAGCCCAACACACCCCAACAGGCCATGAAGCACCAAGCAACCTCCCACGGGCATAACCAGGTCACACGACACTTACCTGTGAGGCCCGACCTCCAAAGATGGATAACGACTCACCCCCCTCTTTCATAAGTCCTCCTGACCCCTAGCTACCACTACACGAAGTGTCCTAGCATGACTAAGAGGGCCTTCCTACGCCCCTGTTGCAACGCCGAATCCCTCGCCGATGTCTGAAGACCAAAGTAGCAACTTGCAGCTCTCCAATGCAGATATGGCAGCCTCCGATCAAGTCTCCCTCTTGAGGGAAAACCCAAAAGTCACTCAATGTCTTCTTGAAGCGCAGATGCCAGGTGCGAGTACCTCTCACTCTCTACTCCCTCTCGCTTACTCCAATCAGCCTCCTTTGTGTCTCGCCACCCCATCCAATCACTCAAGCAACCTGGTCA